ATTCTCCTGTCTCAGCCTCCCAAGTAGCTGGGATTACAGAAGCACACCACCACACCTGGCTAATTTTTGTATTTTTAGTAGAGACGGGGTTTCATCATAGTGGTCAGGCTGGTCTCGAACTACTGACGTCAGTTGATCCACCGGCGTCGGCCTCCCAAAGTGCCGGGATTACAGACTTGAGCCACCCCACTGGGCTTCCTGCCTGTATTCTCTTCCCACTTCGCTTTTGGGTTATTTCAAAGACACCGGTGCCTTTTTGTTTCTTTCTTTCTTTGTTTTGAGATAGGGTCTCGCTCTGTCACCCAGGCTGGACTGCAGTGACGCAATCATACCTCACTGCAGACTTGACTTCTTGGGCTCCAATGATCCTCCCACCTCAGCCTCCTAAGTTCCTGGGTCTATAGGCAGCGGCCATCACACCCAGTTCACTTTTTTGCATTTTTTGTATGCTATGTTGCCCAGTTTTTGTTTGCTTTTTAGCGGTGTTAACAGGGTCTGTGGTGAGACGCAGCCTCCTAGCTCCTTCCAGCACATACCAGCAAACACGGATCTGCCCTCTTTTGTACACGCGAGGACAGCTTACCTCATGCCCTGTTCTGCTCCTGGTTTTTATCCTCACCTCCGTATAGAGAGGCTCACCCCGTATCAGTCAGCATGAAGCAGCCGGAACCCCTTTTTTCGGCTGTGCAGGGCTCAGCTGGGGAGATTGAGTAGGTTATTTCATGGGCGTTTTGGGAGTGGCTGAGCTGTTGCTGTTACGCACACCATTGCTATGACAAGCTTGTGCCCCTGTCTCAAGGATGCCTGAGGGTTTATCTGGGATCAGTGCCCAAAATAGAACTGCTGGGTCAAGGGCCGTGCGTGTATGAGCTGCCCTCTCAGGCCACGGCAGTGCTTTTCCTCTGCCGTGAACCCTCAGTTCTTATCCTTTGCTTACTTAGCATTGGACAGTGGCTTCTTATTGATTTGTCAGAGCTTTTTACATACTAGAGAACTTAGGCCTTAATCATGTGAGTTTTAGGCTCCCCTGATTACCCTCCCACAATTTACTATTTGACTTTTGATTTTTA